TATCTACCTCCTGTTTGAAAAAGTAATTCAATATTATGCTTAGGCAAAGCAGGGAGATGTGGATCCATTAGAAGTTGAGATTGGCTGTATAGTGTTGTTTTTGTCTGTACGTGTGCAGCTTGGTGTTACATGTCCCTTCAAGTATGAATAAAGGTGAACCTTTTTATAGTTCATTAGTTACTTACTAGGTAATGGTCAGTCAAGATTGCCTTTTGTTGGCTTGTTACAGTAAATGCCTGAAAACTTGAAATCTTGTTTTGTAATTCTTGTAAGTAGTCCCTGGTGAATTATAACAGAAGCTACCACTTGGGTATTTTTAATCAACCTCTGGAGTAGGTGGGACTTGAACCTAGGCTTTCACTTCAGGGGTAGGGATACTTCCACTGTGCCACGAGAGCTCCTTGCTGCTTGAGTAAGGTGTCAAAGGATTGCTGACACCTATGGGGCCACATACCATTGTGGAAACCAGTACAATAAGGAGAGCTGGGAAGAGAGAAAATATTAACGAGAAAATAACTTACAAAGCAATCTGAAATCTTCTTTTTACCAAAGTACCCTATGGTTGGTTTTGTTCCCAATGTGCAAAGCTATTGAAATGCGTGATTGCCATGTTCTTGTCTTAAATATTGCTTTAATGTATACAACTCATGACTAGACCTTGATAAAGCACTTCCCTCTTAATATTGTATGGAAAACATATGAAAATATGAAAAACATGAGAACCTCAGTTTTGTAATAATGCATCATGTAGGATCACACTGAACAGAACAGTAAGTATTTATTTAATGACAGTACATGTTGATAAACATGGCAAACTGACTGAACCATCACTGACCAATTGACTCTTGCTAATCAGCAAATGAAGATCTGTAACCTCAGGTTAAAAAAATATATTGGTACAGCATGGTCAGACCTTTCTATTAATCATTAAAGATCAACTGATAAAAATGGAAAAGTATAGCAAGTATAGAGGATTATCTTTCTTCAAATTTGTCAATCTTGCATAATATTGCTGTGTTGAAATGATAGAAAACATTTGCTGATCTGATCATTTTCTGGCAAATCACGTACAAATACTGGTTTTCTTGTAGAAGGAAAATATTTGTTGTGATTTGGCAATATCAAATGCTCATGCACATTGATGTCTTCATTGTTCATTATATTAAATTAAGACCAATTTTAATGGATTAAGATGAAACTATAGTAACACACAACCATTTTACCAATTGTACATCATTTCTGCACAGATATATTCAAATGGCAATGGGAAATTCTGGGTTACAAGGATAGGGTAGGGCTTGTGTCTTGGTGGCTTGATCTTTGGAGGGTTGGTATGGATTTGATGGGCTGAATGGCTTGCTTCTACTGTAGGGATTTGATGATTCTAAGGGAGTAACAATGAATGGAGATGAATGAAAGGTAAATACTGAGATAGGTATGTGAAAAGATGAAAAAGGCAAGATGAGGAACCAGTCTATCAGGGATCAGTGAAGACTGTGGAAGCATCAAAGACAACAGCCAAGAAGAGTTTGAAATGGTATGGTCATTTGCTGTGGAGACAGAGAGGGCATGTAGTGTGATCAGAGATGTATTTGGGACTGCTTGGAAGAAAGGCAAGAGGAAGGCCTAAGAATGGGTGGAAGGATCTTTGGTAGAGACATCACTGCAGCAGAATTGGAATGAAAATAGGCGACTGACATTGGGAGATTGAGAAGAGTAGTCAACCAGCATTGACTGCAACTAAAACTTAAGAAGCTAAAAAAGAACACATGGACATATGAATTAAGAGCAGCAATATGCCATTTAACACCTGTATTATGTCCTTCTATTTAATAAGATCAGATAAGATCAACTCCACTTTCCCGCCTTCACCTCATCAACATTGACTTCTTGCTGGCTACCAACCCCTGTCTTAAAAATACTTACTGACCCCACCTCCATTTCTCTGTCAAGGAGAGAGTTCCAAAGACGTATGACCCTCTGAAAGAAAAGATTCTCATTTCCATTTTAAGTGGACAACCCTCTATTTTTAAACTGTGTCATCCTAGTTCTAGTCTTTCCCAAAATGGGAAACATCCTTTCAACATTTACATTATCAAGTCCCTTCAGGATTGTATATATTTCTATAAAATCACCACTCATTCTTCTAAACTCCAAAGGATTAAGGTCAAGCGCATTCAACCTTTCCTCATAAAATAGACCCCCAAATCCAGGAGTCAATTGAATGAACATTCTCTGAACTATCTCTAACACACTCAAATGCTTTGTGATAGAATGAAATCAAAAATATTCGTAGTATTCCAGTTCAAGTTTCACCAACACCCTGCATAAGAAAGCAAAATATCTCTACTTTTATATTCAATTCCCCTTGCAATAAATTATAGCATTCCATTTGCCATTCTAATCATTCACCTGCATATTATTTTTTTGTAATTCATGTGCCAGAAAACCCAGATCCCTATAAAGCTCAGAGTTCTGCAAACTCTCTCTATGTAACTAAAATACTGCTTTTCTATTCCTCTTGTAAAAAGTGCATAAGATCACATTTTGTATGCCATTGGCCAAAGAAGAAGTATGTCAACTAGGGGCAGTCATAAGAAACATCTATGTTGTTTCTGGTTGCCTCTAAATTCTTGAGTTGATTTTATAAGGACCTGAATTGATGGTCGGTTGAGAAAGTCCCCGATGAACCTTCTTACCCAGAAATTAACTATTGATGTGGCAAGAAGGAAGCAAGTAACTCAAAAGGGCCAATTTGCCCAATTATTGCCTCGCTCTTCATTTTTCTCACCACCTCCCAGGAAGGGAAAATTCAGTCCTCCTTTTATAATGGATTTCCAAAGCTATATGGAACTGGCCAGGGTACAAGGTAAGAATACAGCAGGGAATCACTGATTAATGAAACTGATAGGCTGGAAAATCTATAAACAGTGGAACTGCAGAGCTGCTGGTTTGCTTATGTGACAAACTCGCACTTCCAGTACTTATTCAGAGGGCGCGATATCACTGCTTTACAGGTAGTTTCTAACTCTTTGGAAGTCACCTGTATTGGAATTTATTCATTTTGATCTGATCTTGCTTGTTGTTAATCTTTACTACAGCACAGGAATAATTTATAATGTTGAGATGGTGACACAATGGTAATTCAATGCACTCATAATCTGGTGGCTAATATTCTTGGAATGTGGATTCAAATCCCACCACACCAACAATCATTGACTGTTGTAAAAACCCAGTGGCAGAGGTGGAACCCTTGAACCCGGCTACAGTTTGCTAAGAGGTTGTGTGCTTTCCTTACAGAAGAGAAAGTCGAGTGCTAAGTATGAGAAATACATTTTGTGAAGGGAATGCAATGGCCATATTTGTGGCGAGTTACTGACTGTGATATGAAAAACATGTGAATATGTTGAGGGTGAGTGCAAATATTGATTGTTCAGAAAGGGACGTAAGGAGATGAATCGGGGAGAGTAATGAGTGGAGCTATTAATCATGTTTGTTTGAGGTATGCTGCGCAGAAGAGTGCTGGAGAAGTCAGAGTGTGAAAGTGTTACGGCACTCACCTTTCCTGCTCTGTGTCTGTGTTAGCTAGCTTGGCAAGACAGCAGTAATATGATCCTGGTATCTTTGGCTGAAGGAACAAAATGCTAAAAGGCAATGCAGGATGAGGATGCTGCAAGCATCCAGATAGGCTCTGAGTGAGATAACATAATAACAGTGAGCAAAGAGCCAGAAAATGCAGTCTGGTCTAGTCCATGAGTTTGGTATGTGTATCTGAGCTGAAGAATCCCAGCTATAGCATTGCAATGCTAGTTGTCACTGCAGCATTGAAGTGAAGAAGTATAAGTGGATTGGAAATGTGCCACGATGATTCTTAGAGATTGGCACATATCAAATGCCAATATCCATTGACATGGAATGCATATGACTGGTACCCATGGGTGTGCCATGTGATATCGATGTCAAGTTTCTAACGTGGAGGTCATTTAGAGCAAGCGGTGAGCTGATTCAATCAGGTACATGTTCTGGTCTCCTTGTAAAGTTTCCCTATGTCTGGCTTGTTTAGCAAGTTTAGTAAGATGGGAGGCTGAATATTAATGAGGTGAGTCGTGGCATTAACAAGTCTTTTAACATTAATCCTGATCAATTGGCATCTCATTGCTATCCAGTGAGATTCTTGCCATGCCACTTGAGAAAAGCATAAAAGATGGAGTGAAATGATCTCAATGTTAGGGCGGGTCTTGCTGCACTCACCGATCAATTGTCCTGTACATCTCACCATGGGCTTCTTTCGCCATCTTTCAGACCCCTATACCATTCTTCCCTTTGAGTCAGAATACCAATTCTTGAATGTGGTTAGAAGTTACATAGTTGCTTGCTCGGATCCCTTGGAAAGTGTTGTGCCAAAATGCTTTTCTAATCACAAAAAAAATGCACTTTAAAATTCCATAGGAAATCTATACTTAGGGGTCAGCATAGTAATAGTTGACATTTTTTGTTCACCACTGAGAGCAATATATAGGCCTTTATGTCTAATAATCAAAGGAGAGTGAACATGAAAAAGATTTTTAAAAAGCTTCAATAAATAGTGTTGACCTTATCAATAAAGACAAACTGAGACATTTTGAAACAAGACACCATTTTCATCTTACTCATCCTGAGTACTATTGATTAATTCAAAGATAGTAGGAACTGCAGATGCTGGAGAATCTGAGATAACAAGGTGTAGAGCTGGATGAACACAGCAGGCCAAGCAGCATCAGAGGAGCAGGAAGGCTGACGTTTCGGGCCTAGACCCTTCTTCTGAATATTTGTCAGTTTATTGTATGTACAATAGTGAAGCGTGATACTCGTGTTCTGATTATCGACCAGATTGGTCGATTGGTATTGTTAAATATTAACTCATTGATAAAAATTAATCATGTGGCAACCAATTCTTCCAATCACTGTCCTCAATTCCCCAAGTCCAGTGGCTGAAACGTATAAAAAAAGAATAATGACCACTTGAGCAAGGCTTTGAGAGAAAAGACAAGTAGTGGGAAATCAGCAAAGAGAACTCGGTACCTTAGCACCATGAAACTGACTTTGGTGCTTTTGTTCTGCATTTCAGCAGTTCAAGCACAGACTTTCGAGTATGATTATGATGAGATTCCGACGGGTCAGCCTGAGACAACAGATGCTGAATCACCAAATGCTGGGGTAAGAAATGTGAAAAATGTTGTGCTGTATTGACTCTAGTGACTTCTCTGCACAATGCACACGTTTGTGCTCTAGTATTCTTTTACAAAGTTCGACTATTTATTTTGTTCTAACATTCAGAAATAAGGACCATGTTTATCTTCCATTGTTGATCAAACTGAAATCCACAAAACATATAATAATAGAGCACTGATAGGCTGCCCCTGTGTGAGTTAAAATTGCTTGTGTTTTGTGGCTCAATCAACATAACACTATACATTTGTGTGAAGGAGACAAAGCTTTTCACTAATACATAATGGCATCTGAAATAATCTGAATTTGATTTTGAGTGTGAAGTCACTTCCAGACACAAGTCTCAAATCACATGGGATTCTCACTTCTGAAAAGAACAAACAATTTTTAAAAAATTGAAGATTTAAAAGTTGCCGTGTCTGTAATATTCTTCCATGATAAACAAACATAAGTGCAGGGTTCAGTCACTCAAAAAGATTGAATAATTCCTTCATTAAAATAGGAATCACACATGGACACATTAACCCTTCATGTGCTAGTATCATGCAACTTAACTTCCACCTAATTCTTTAATATCAATAAAGAACTTATCATCCAGCAAGCTAATATTAAAAGTTACAGCAACATTATGATGCCAGCCAGAAGATTTCTCTGTGTACATTTAACAATCTGAGGCTGATTTCTGATTTTCCTTGATAAGGGTAATGGCAGAGTTGGTTGTGTAACTCAGTGCCAGTGATTTGTTTAAGTGTCAAAGCAAGTGTTAATTTTATATATCAGTACAAAACGGACTCAATTATTAGAGCCCTTCTGACTCTCAGATTTCTGCTGAATTAAAATTAAAAAGTAAGGAGTCAGAAAGGAGAAGTCAGAAAAGTGGTGTTTTCGTGTAACTCAATGTTATATCCCATTGCCCGAAAAGACACTACAGGATCCACGTGGACACAGACCTATCGTTGATAGTGCATACTATTACAGAAGAAATCAACCAGTTTACACTGGTCAAAATACTGATGGGAGAAGAATGAGATATAGGACCCAGCCCACTCCAAGCACCCAACGATCCAGCATTGTTGAGGAGAGAGTAAGCCCGGACGCAGGAGGATGCAAACATTTATCTACAGATAAGGTAAGGTCCACCAACTTCCAGGATGTAATGTATTGGACTGAATCTTGCTTATAGAAAGCCCTACCACTGAGATGGAAGTCCCAAGCTTGAGACTGTGGGTGTTAGGACTGCAGGGCTAACTTTACTGCGGTGGCCAATTAAGTGGCTGCAGCCAGGATTACCATCTAATCGAGAATGGTAGCCCACCTTTCAAAGCTGGGCCACTTTGCAGAATCTGGCTGCAATGAATTTTCATTGAATCAGCAAAGCCAATGAAAGGTGTTGGCCTCTCAGCATCAGATTTGAAATGAATACCAAGCCTGAACTCATCTTCCCAAATGGCAATGAGTATGAAATGGTCACGTACAGCCCTGCAGAAGGAGCATTCCCTCAACACTGACCTCCTGGGAGCTGTGACTTTTTTTGTTTACATTTCAAATTTTTCATAAAATCTTGAGTTGTTTGCTCCATGTTGTGACACTATCTCTTTCTCCTGTTTACATCTGCACTACATCAGCAGCTCCCCTCCCACTCTGCCACAGGTAACTGGAGAGTGTACCAGCCTGTCTTCTTTAATTGGACAGCTAGTCTACCTTTAGCCATGATTGGTCTCCTGGTCAAAACTTGCATCAGACATCATGTACTGGTGTGATGCGTAGACAGGAGTGGAAATGGCAGATGAGCTGAAGCACTGTTTATGTTTGCTTAGTCGGTCTCTGACATGGAGAGGATATGGAGTTGCAAGCTCATCTTAGGGCTGAATAGGAAACAGAGATTGCAAACAATATGATAGATCCTGAGGGAATAACTGCAGAAATGAATTGATTTAGTGGCATGGCAATAGAATTTGTAGGTGATGATGTGGTTTCAGTCTTCCCAAAAGCAAATGGAAGAAAGTTCAGTTTATCCAAGGATGGACATTGGACAAACAGTCTGACACAGTGGAGACAGCTAATGGAGGGCTCAACTTGGTCGTCAAGGTGGTCAGGAACTCTGCAGGTGTAGACTTGCAAAAAGCTAGATGAAAGCCAATTCAATTAGCTCAGGAGGGTGCTCTGCATCATTGCTAATGCTAGTCAAAGTCTCTGTGTCTTACATTTCTTCACCTCAGTTCCTTCCTTGGGCTGACCTAGGAACATCATTTACATCTTGTGCATCACAGCATATTGGTGGAGACTGATGCCTTTTACACAAAATAGTATCAAATTTTGCACAGACTCAGAAAAAAATGAGGTCCATGCCTCAAATTCTTTAGAATAACAGAATTTCCCAAAGACCAATGGCTGGTAGATTGCAAGAACAGTGGTGTGTGCTAAAAAAAATGCTCTAACAGGAAGCTAAAGGTCTACAATCTAACTTGTTCATGGCTACTGGCACTGCATTTTGCAAATCTTAGGCAAACCTCCATGCAGCACTCCTGATTGTGAAGGATTGTATATCTAATTTGTCAGACAGATGATGTGTTATCAAAGAAGAAGCAAAAAAAGGAGTGATGATGGTGCCAACTCACCAACACCTTGGCAATGCACAAATTACCCTGTTGAAGCATCTGCCCAGTGAGGCCGCTAAGACTGCTATCTGCGCTCTTGAGGCTGCAGATTGAAAGATCTAAGAGGAGCAGGCAGGAAGGATGTTGAGGAATCAAGAAAGTAAGTGTTTTTCCTATCACAGGAGTGACAAAGGGGATTTGTGCTTAGAAGCCTTTGGATTTTTGTGTGGAGCTAGTAGCCAGAAGGACTGCAGTTTTGACCAGCCCAGATTCTGAGTGAAAGGCCTTGCCAAAGAAAAGGCCTGAGTCTAGTGAGCATTGGCATCTGGCAATGACCTGAACGCTAAAGTACAGGGAAGTTTGGGACAAGTCAGGCAGAGTGCAGTTTGGTTGAACTCTGTCTTGCTTGCTGCTTTCTGGGGAGGGGCAACTAACTTGGCCCAAGTATTCAGATTACTAATTACCTGTTGTACCTAATTAAGACCAGGATAATTGAAATCTTTGTATTTGGAAGTTATATGAGAGATGCAAAAATTGTGAGTCGGTTATTTTTTATCACTTAAGTAAACTGAATGTCAGAGAACAAGTTGAAACGTTATTTTAACTAAAAGCTAAAACTTTTTTTACCGAATATTACAATTCAGTTTTCCTGATCTCTCTGGTATAAGTTTTCTCGTATGCCTTTTTCAATTTCCGTTGAAGGGAGTGCTGTGTCCAACTGGCTGTGAACTGAGGACTAGCCTTCTGAAGGAGGAAAAGAATACAAAATTAATCATCGATGACCTAACACTCAGACTTTCAAATCTTACTCGGTCTACAAACACGATCCATGTTTACGTTGAAAATCTGGATCATGAAATGCAGCGGCGACAAACACAGTACTCAGGTACAGATTCCCTCTATTTTAGGGAGCAATCCATTCTGCTGACGTAGGTTTGTTCAACAAATCCTAGAAAATAAAGCAGAGTCACAGTACCAATGGAAAGTTTATACAATTCATAGTAATGCATGTATGTCTCCGCAGGGAATAATCAAATAGTGAGTTCATACAATGCAGAGCTGGAAGATCGTTTTGCACTGATAAAAGACAAGGTAGAATCCACACTTCCGTCAACTATCCGCATGATGCGCTCTGTTGTGCAGAGTCTCAAGGCAAAACTGGAAAATCTTAGAAAAGCTGTATTGACACAAAAAGAATTCTGTAAGAGGCCGTGCACTGTTACTTGTAATATCCCAGTGGTAACAGGCAAAGGTAAAGATATCTCATAATATTCGACTCCTTTTTGTTGCTATATATCTTCAATTTTTCACTATTACATGATGACTTTGCATACATATTTATTTTGCAGAATGTAACGAAATTTATGAGAAAGGTGGTAGAGAATCTCAAATGTACTTAATCAATCCAGACTCCTTCAAAGCACCCTACAAAGTTTACTGTGACATGACAACGGCAGAAGGAGGTACTATTTTGTGCTTCATAAAATATTATTTGCTAGAAAATTACTTTAACTTCTGTATGTCATTCAGTGCTGTGCCTTTTTGATTTGTAACAATGGAAATATTTTCCAGGATGGGCACTGATTCAAAGCCGACAGGATGGTAGTGTTGACTTTGGCAGATCCTGGGATGCCTACAAAAATGGATTTGGTAATATTGCATTTGATGTGGGAAAAGGTTTTTGTGATACCCCAGGTGAGTTGGTTAAAATTGCTCATAAAAATTAACTACTCGTTCAAGCGAGCATGGCGTAGCTTACTGTAGTGCAATGTCCAACTTAGTGAAGATTTTCAAGGGAAATCATCTAAAAGCAAAGATTCAATTCCAGTCATTTAAAAAAAAATTCTTGCAGTATAGGCATCACTGGTTACATCAACATTTACTGCCCATCCCTAATTGTTCTGCACACAATTAAGGGTCACAAGCGGGTAAGAGTGGCAGAATTTCTTCCAGAAAGGATATTAGTGAACCAGATGGGTTTTTACAGCAATTAATAGTGGTTTACAAGTTCACCATTAGGCTAATGTTTATTCTAACTTTTTTTTATTAGGTTCAACTTCTACCACTGCCATGGTGGGATTTGAACCTATCTATGCTTGCAGAATATCAACTTGGGGCTCAGGGTTATTAGACCAGTGACATTGCCACTATACCACTGACTCCTCTTTTGAACGCAAATTTGACCATAAATGGTCCTTCTGTCCTGACAACCATACTCAAAAGATCGGGAAATTCTGTTTTAATTTCATCTATATGAGTTATTTTATAGAAAATGTTTCTATCAAGACTTGAGAATATATTGGCTGCTTTCCTACGCTCTTGTCCACAACTGTTCCATGACCTGGTGAAAGCAAAGAATAATGTACAAAATCAGGGATATATCTATGGTAACTGGCATTTAAAGTGTGTTTAATCCTTGGTCAACTGTGTGGAGTTTGCATATTCTCCCCATGTCTGCGTGGGTTTCCTTCGGGTGCTCTAGTTTACTCTCACAGTCCAAAGATGTGCAGGTTTGATGAATTGGCCATGCTAAATTGTCCATAGTGTCCAGGGATGAGCAGAGTAAGTGGATTAGCCATGGGAAATGCAAGGTTGTGTGGGATGCTCTTTGAAGGATCAGTTTGGACCTCGATGTGCTGAATGGCCTGCTGCCATATCGGAGGGATTCTATGATTGTATGATGATAAATCTATTAATGTTGACAGCTAATGCCTGGTTTCACAAATAACCAGGTGAAAGTAGACCATGTACCCACGTTTATCTGTCTTTTCAAATTCAATTTTCGGGACTCCTAATTTTCTTTCATAATTCCCATCATTTTCATTTTTATCTTTTTATAACTTCTCAGAAGATTTATATTCGGAAAAAGATCAGATACCTAATACTCTGCCTTTTTAATGTGTTCATGGGACATGGCCATCATTGGCTTGGGCCAATATTGTTACTGATCCCTAATTATCCTTGAGAAGGTGGTGATGAGCTGTCTTCTTGAACTATTACAGCCCACAGTGTTGTTAGGAATGAACTCATAATGAAGTAGTAGGCACAAATGGTATCTTTATTTTGACATTAGTATCTGTTGACCTCAATTCTTCAAAGCAGCGCATGACCTTGCAAATATGTCAGAAATATAATGAATTAAATCAAAATGATAAGAAGATTGTTCAAATCCTTTTCAATGCATATGCTTTGTTTTAACTGTTGTCAATTTTCTTGCTTTTTCTCCTGAAGGTGTTGACCGCCTCCTATAATGTGTTTTGACAATTTATTTATTTGAAGGAAACATCACAGTTGAGATCAATCTTGTTTTTATCTGATATTCTTGCATTTACATTATCCAGTGGAGAACTGCTTGCCCTGTTTTCCCGTCCTGAACCCAGGAGGAGCAGCACTAATTTTAATACATATCAAGTTCAACTATCTTCAGCTGAAAGTTGACTAAAGCTAAGATATGATACTGGCAGAACAAGACTTGTCATTTTTAAAAAGTGTAAATATTTATTAGTGAGAACTATCTGCCCAACTTCCCTTCTGTCTCGATGAAAGTCTTGACATCTTTTGGGGATTTAGCTCAATTTTTTATCATGAAATATTATAATTTTTATTCTGCACCAAATGACTGTGCTGTAAGTGTGGATGCTGCTGGATTAGCAGCCATGGGAAGATTTGTCCAGAAGCTAAATTTAGGATATTCTCACTAGACATCCCCATTTGTACATTTCTCAGGAATGGCCAATGGATTATGATCAAGTGCACAAACACTGAAAGAATAGGCCAACTGAGATCTTTTAACACAGCCCAAATTAGCAATTGAAAACTTCTGTTAGAGCATAATATACTTTAATATTGCTGCCATTCTTTGGGATCAAAGTTGTTCTATTTCTAAACTTTCTTGCAGGTGAATATTGGCTAGGAAATGATCGAATTAGTCAACTGACAAAACTTAAGCCTACAGAGCTCTTTTTTGAGATGCAAGACTGGGAGGACGAACAATTAACAGCCCATTATACCAAATTTAGAGTACAAAATGAGGTCAACAATTATCGCCTGTTTATTGATGGCTACTCAGGGACGGCTGGCAATGCACTTTTGGAAGGGGCTAAAATGCTCTCTGGAGTCAATAAGACAATGACAATTCATCAAAACATGATGTTCAGTACATATAATAGAGACAACGATGCATGGTAAGTCTTGGGGAACAGCTTGTGCTTATTTCTTCCACTATTAGTGTGTTATTTTTAACCAGTTTTGCCTGGGGTTAAAAGTCTAAGGAGCAAATGTTGTCTTTAGTATTTAAATTCAGAAATTTCCTTGCCAGCACATATATCCAAAATGTAGGTGTGCCAACAATTTTCCATCAGTTAATTTTATGCATTGGAAGTAGAGTGATCAGCTCCCATATCTTTACACCCTGAAATTCCACTTCTATACTTCTTTATCTCACTACCAATCTTTAATGTTGCCTTTGGACACCTTTCCTCAGTACCACCATTCCTCATGTAAATCACTTTGTGATATTTTGGTACTTAACGTTTAGTTTGGGTGCAAATTGGCAAAGTATGGGGTTTAGGGCAGTGGAACTGTGGCATGACTGAGCTGGGAAACACGCTTGTTCGTCCTAAACTTGAACTGGTACGTGTAGCCGCATTGCTTTGATTTAGGTGAAACTATCCGACTGGCTCTTAATTGAGGATTCATTTTTCTGGATTTATTATGAATGGATTAGTGACTCTGTTAAAACTTGCACAAAATAACTCTATTTGAACATGTTATTTCCTTCCTTAGCAAAGCAAATTTGATGTTTTCAAGTTTAGCAGTGCTTTTTTGTTACAACTTCAATGTTGGTTTATAGCAGTTGCGTAAAAGCGCAGAATGTAGCTTGAGTATCAGACCAAACGCGTCTGAAACAGATACAGAAAATGCAGGAGGAATTCAGACAGCATCTTGGCAGAGAGAAAAAGAAACGATTTTTCAAGACCGGTATGACTCTTCTTCATGACACAAACAGAATCTGCTTTGGAACGTGATTCTGTTGTCCCGGAAAACTCACTGATTGACCCTCTTGAAAAGTCCAATCCAAGCTGCGCTAGCTGCGTTTAATATCAATAAAAAAAACCCCAAATAACCTTGGTAAACATATAATTCTAGCATGATGCATCCTTACAGCTTTAAAATGTTATTTCTTCGACATTTTAAGTAGCCTGTTAAGAATTAACCTTAACGTAACGTTTGCCCATTTATTAGTTGTAACGCTTCAAAGCACTTAGCTTGGATTTTTCAGTTTCATTTCAAAGTCTAGACACTGAGGGTTCATGGAATTCTGGATAAATCAGGAATATTGGCTTTGAAATTATGCCACGTAATAGTAACATATAGCTGTTTAAAATGTCGGACGAAATTTAAAATAGACGCGAACCCACTTAAATAATTCTGGATCTCTGTTTATAAAATCTTATAAAACTATTAGTCGTAGTATCTAAAGCAGATAGTACATTTGTTTCAGAAAGAACCAAATCACTAAGGAGGTATACTGGAAATGGTGGATTTCAAGTTGCTTCTAAAATGGAATGTGTTTTAAAAGCCGCATTTAATACATCGTCCGTCATAATCCTGCCCTTTTTGCTTTCCTTTTCCTAGCTGTAATCTAAAGGTAATTTGTACTATTTCAATGTATTTTAACACAACTTGGGGATCTGACACTGCTGTAACATTGACAGGGAACCTGGAAACCCAGCCAAACAATGTGCCAGGGAAGATGGTGGTGGCTGGTGGTATAATCGCTGTCATTCCGCAAATCCAAATGGGAGATATTATTGGGGCGGACAATATACGAAAGAAATGGCAAAACATGGCACAGACGACGGGATTGTGTGGATGGACGCAAGAGGGTCGTGGTATTCTCTGAAGAAAATGAGCATGAAAATCCGTCCACAATTCCCAACAAGTGGTACACAACAGCAGATAGTTCAAACTTACCTTGAACACTAATAATAGGGTCAAAAGCCCAGAAATGCTTTAAACAAAAATAAATTTTATGAAGATTTCATACTTTTTCTTTAATTTCTAATCTCTCAATATGCTATTGAGAAGATTAAGGCATGAGTATTCAAGTCTAAAATGTTTGTGAATTCCTGAATGTATTAAAACATGCAAACCATTAAAACAGTGGGCAGATTTTTACTATGGCTATGGGACTTCCATATTGGGACTAAACGAGAGCCCTGAGCTCTCAGTTTTAGCTGTGGGACTGGATAGACAGTTTTCCAGGATGTGGCCTCACAATTGACCACTTCCAACTTTGTATCCAATTGGGGATGATGGGTAGGCTCCTGATCTGTTGGTCCAATCAGAGAGCTGGGAATTAGACTCTTGACAGTTCGGTCTGGGAAGGTGGGTGTTCATGGAGGCACTTCTGAAAGGATAACTTTAAAAAGGCTCTGAGAGACCACAAAGAAAGCCTTTTGGCTGGAATGTTTGGACTATAGAGGCTACCTTTCCTTCATGTGGCAACAACAATGAACCACGGAACCTATGGGTCCAATGGCTCCTGGGTTACCACAGAGAGATGCCTCCAGAAGTAATGGGTGGGCCACTCTGTAACAAGAAAATCCTTGGAAAGAATCGATTCTACTTGGTCATCCAATGTTTAGATCAACTGCTTGCCTCTGCAATTTCTTTCTAAGAAGCTTCACTGTGGAGGGGATAAGTCAGGGAGATCTCCTGAAAGGCTTTCTCCTATTCTCTTACTTCACCTCCAACTCTATCGCCATGGAACCAGGAATAGACCCAATAGGTTGATATGCCCAATGTCAAAATAATTTCCATTGTTGATTGAATGTTGAAGATGGAATCTTCCATTTACAACAGCCCCCATTATAACTGAACCACCAGACAGGATAGGGACAATCTTGGATCTAAAGCCTTTTTTATATTGGCCCAATTTCACTATGCATTAATTTTACAAAATTTTACAGTATATGGAACAGGTATCCAATCTCAAACTATGCCATTCCTTTTAGAAAACTTGTGTTAAAATAATATCATTTTTCAAGCTACCACAATTCACTTATGGGACAAGTAACCAGTTTTGTTTTTTTTTAATTATTTCATGGTGTGCATGGATCATTGGCTTGTCCAACGTTCTTTGCCTGTCTCAAATTGCCCTTCAACAGTTAATGGTGAGCCACCTTAGAGTCATAGAGTCATACAGCATGGAAACAGAGTCATGGAAACATGAGCCCAACTCATCTGTGCTGACCAGACATTCCAATATGACCTAGTCACATTTGCCAGCATTTGTCTCATATCCCTCTAAACCCTTCCTCTACATGTACATATGCAGACACCTTTTAAATGTTGTAATTGCACCTGTCTCCACCACTTCCTCTGGCAGGTCGTCCATACATGCACCACCCGCTGCATGAAAAAGCTGCCCCTCAAGTCCCTTTTAAATCTTTCCCCTCTTACCTTAAATCTATGCTGTCTAGTTTTTGATTCCGCCAGCTTAGGAGAAAGACCTTAGCTATTCATCCTATCCTTGCCCCTCATGATTTTATAAACTTCTATAAGGTCACCCTTCAGCCTCCAACGCTCCAGGGAAAAAAGGCCCCAGTTTATTTAGCCTCTCCCTATAGCTCAAACCCTTCAGACCCCACAACATCCTTGTAAATCTTTTCTGCACCCTCTCAAGTTTAACAACTTCCTTCCTATGGAAGGCTGACCAGAAATGTATGCAGTATTCCAAAAGTAAACTCACCAATGTCTTGTACAGCCACAACGTGACATCCCAACTCCTATTCTCAATGTTATGACCAATGAAGGCAAGCATGCCAAATGCCTTCTTCAGCACCCTGTCTCCCTGCAACTCTACTTTCAAGGAACTGTGCACCTGCATCACTAGGTCCCTTTGTTTGGCAACTCTCCCAGCAGTCCATCTGGTGTAAGTACATCCACATGCTTTTGGGTGGGAATTCCAGGTTTTTGAAGACAATGAAGGTTTGATGGTATAGTTCCAAGTCATGGCCGAGGAGATGGGGTGCTATATTATTAGGAAGGCCTCGGCTCATTGGCTGAACAACCTGTCAATCTGGATGGTCTATACCGGAAGCAACCAATCTGGTGCACAGAACATCTTGACTAACAGAGACAGAAAACTGCAGATGCTGGAATCCAAGGTAGACAAACGTGAGGGTGGAAGAATACAGCAAGCCAGGCAGCTTCTGGATGAAAGGAGCAGTCAACGTTTCAGGTTTTACCCTTCTTCAGCATCGAATGTGGGGATAGGGGGAGCTGCAGATAAAGGCAGGGGGGAAGGGGTGGAGGTGGAATAGTGGTGATAGGAGGACACTGTTAGTAGAACTGACCTGGTTGGTCGATGGGAGGGATGAATCTGCTTGGTGGCTGTAAGGGAGGGTCAGGAGGTGGAATGGAAGGGAGGATGTGGGGCTCGAAGGGGAGCTGGGGGATGAGAGGGAAGGTTATTTGAAACTAGAGAATTCAATATTGAATCCTCTGGGCTCCCAGGCAGAAGATAAGGTTGTGTTCCGAGTCACTGCAACACTGGAGGAGGCCAAGGACGGACATGTCAGAGGGGATAGGACAGGGAATTGAAATGTGTGGTGACTGGGAGGTTAGGTTGGCCATTACGGGCCACATGAAGTCGCTCAGCGAAACAGTCACCTAGTCTACATTTGGTCTTACCGATGTAGAGAAGACCACATTAGGAGCACCGGATGGAGTAGACTAGGTGGGAGGTCCTTGCAAATCATCATCAAACACTTCCACCAACTGCAATTACACCCCACCACCTGGAACATCTTCCACTCCCCACCCGTCTCTGCCTTCTGCAAGGACCATTCCCTTTGGCACACTTTAGTTCGCGCCACACTCCCCGCCAACCACTCCAACCCACCCAGTTACTTCCCCTGTAACTGTAAAAGATGCAACACCTGCCCACACACCATCTCCCTCACCTCCATTCAGGGCCCTAAACAGTCTTTCCAGTGAGATAGAGCTTCACCTGCATCCCCTCCACCCTAGTCTATTGCATCCGGTTCTCCCAATGTGGTGTTCTCTATGGCGGTGAGACCAAACGTAGACTAAGTGATGTTTCACCGAGCATCTCTGCCTGGCCCATAATGGCCAACCTAACCTCCTGCTCACTGCCCATTTTAATTCCCCATCCCACTCTCCATCTGACATATCCATCCTCGGCCTCCTCCAGTGTCATAGAACATAGAACATAGAACATAGAACATTATAGCGCAGTACAGGCCCTTCGGCCCTCGATGTTGCGCCGACCTGTGAAACCAATCTGAAGCCCATCTAACCTAAACTATTCCATTATCATCCATATGTTTATCCAATGACCATTTAAATGCCCTTAAAGTGGGTGAGTCTACTATTTTTGCAGGCAGGGCATTCCACGCCCTTACTACTCTCTGAGTAAAGAACCTACCTCTGACATCTGTCCTATATCTATCACCCCTCAATTTAAAGCTATGTCCCCTCATGCTAGCCATCACCATCCGAGGAAAAAGGCTCCCACTGTCCACCCTATCTAATCCTCTGATCATCTTATATGTCTCTATCAGCGACTTGGAACTCAAATTTGAAGAACAACACCCTATCTTGCGCCTGGGCACCCTACAGCCTGGAAGACCCAACATTGAGTTCTCCAATTTCAAATAACCTTGTCACCCATCCCCCGCCTCCTCTTCCAGCCCCACCTCCTCCTTTCCGGCCACCAACTGGATTCATCCCTCCCATGGACCAACCAGGTCATACCTACCACCAGTGTCCACCTATCACCACCATTTCACTTCCACTCCTTCCACCCCACCATTTATCTGCAGCCTCCCCTGCCCCCACAGTCCTGAAGATGGGTAATACCCTGAACCATTGACTGTTGCTTTCCCCCGGATGCTGCCTGGCATGCTGTGTTCTTCCAGCCTCCTGTTTGTCTATCCTGATTGACAGGTTCATCAGCCAGTGATATTTGTTGATGTTAACTGTCCAGCAAGTGGACGTGTAGCATGAGCCCACCAGTGGTGACTTCAACAACTTTCCTCACTTTCATGGTATGAGTATTGGTCACATGTGGCAAGACTGTGAAGGGGAGTCATCATGATGGCCTTTGGGTGCCTGTCTTGCTTCAACATGATGACTGAGAGATTGTTGCAGCAAAGGAATGATAGGGGAAGAAAGCATCATGACATAGTGCTAAGATAGTGGGCATCTAGCCAATATGATGTTCTGGATGTGCTCACACACCAACCACATGCTGAGTGAGTATATAGCCGACTTGATTTCATTACACCTCCCCAGTGAGATGTGGCCTGCAATGTTCTTTTGAAGGCTCTCAGGTCCATGATGAAGCCCTGGCAAAGCCAAAGTTATGTAGCTGCCTGCTTCCCCTGTGTCTATTTAGAGAAAGGACAGTGAAACCCCTCTCCTGGTATTCTGAGCCTCTGTGTCCTCATATATAGATGGCAATGAATGGCAAACTAAAAGATCTTAGCAACAAAAATAGAAATTGCTGGTAAAACTCAGTAGGTATGGTGTCATCTGTGGGAATAAAGCAGTGTTCACATTTTGAGTCCATACACTTCAGAACTGAAAGCAGCTTGGAAGAGGTGGTATTTATGCTGAAGATGAGTTTGGTTGGAGGGGCATGGGCGTAGGTGGAGGGACAGGTGAGTAGATGGGTGTCGAGAGAGAGAGAGAGAGAGATATGAAGGGGATTATAGACTGCAGGCCAGGCCAGAAGAGAAGCTGAATAAGTAATAATAAGAGACGAGAGTAGGAGAGAATGGGTAGGCTATGCTGAAAGCAAAACATGTCATGACAGGACCAGTGCATAGGGTGGGTAAAAAAAAATAGGAGGATGGAATCATACTCTCAAGTTATTGAACTTGAAGTGTGTCCTAGTGGCGGCAGGATCCCCAAGTGGAAAATGAGATGTTGTTCTTCAAGCTTGCACTGAAGCTCACTGGAACACTGCAGCAGGCCTGAGACAGAAAGGCTGCTGTGGGAACACAGTAGTGTGTTGAAGTTGCAGGCAACTGAAAACTCTGGGTCACTTTTGTGGACAGTGTAGGTATTCTGCAAAGCAGTCGCCCAGTCTGCATTTCGTTTCCCCAATGATGAGGAGACCACATTGTGAGCAGTGAATGCAGTAGACTCGATTGAGGGAAGTACAAGTGAATCACTGCTTCACCTGGAAGGTATATCTGGGGCGTAGGATAGTGAGCAGGGAGGAAGCAAACGGGTAGGTGTTACACCTTCTGCAATTGCATGGAAAAGTACTATGGGGGTGTGGTGGGGGCAGGTATTATGAATGGAGGAGGAATGGACCAGCGTGTCCCAGAGGGAATGGTCCCTGCAGAAGGTTGACAAAGGAGGGGAGGAAAATATAGGTCTGGTTGTGGCATCCTGTTGGAGGTGGCTAATGATTTTTTGGATGAGGAGGCTAGTAGGGTGTAAGTGAGGACCAGAGGGACCCTATCACTGTTATGGGAGGGAAGAGAAGGGGCAAAGGATGAAGTGCAGGAGATGGGTTGGACATGGATGAGGGCCCTGTCAACAACAGTGCTGGGGAATCCTTGGTTAGGATAAATGGTGGACATTTCTGAGGAACTCCTGTGGAAGGTGGCATTGTCAGGACAGATATTTACAATGTCAGCATGGAAGGATCCATTTGTGTAGAAATTGAGGGAGATGTCTTCCTTGATGGCTACTCTCTCACTGCTCTGATATTGCATGTCCAACCTGAAGACCTGGTACTGTTCAGCCACCATCTCCTTGGTAAAATGTAGCCACTGCAGAGACTGCACTTGGTTGAGGGGGAGGTAGAAGTTTTTTTCTGAAAATCCCAAGTGGGTAAGATCTCTTGCAGAAAGCTGGTCTTCTCCTCCTTTCTCTGTGAGCAGTTTGTCTTCTATACCTCTTTTGGCTGTGAGGCTGGAACCAAAGGGGAGCCAAGATGATTGCTATTGTGACTGTAATTAACTGAAGCTCTCAGAGGGCTTTCAGAAACACAGAATGTATTCACAATATCCAGGCACCATTCTCCTCTAACAAGCAATTTTTCAAACTCCTTCAAAAATCCAGGACTTCCACCAATTCTACAGCAGCAAGCCCAGAGACAATTAACATTCAATTGCCATTGCAGAATCCCTCACTGTCAACATCCTGGGTGTTACCATTAAAAAGAAAGTGCACTGGACCAACCATATAAATGCCGTTGCTACAAGAGCACATCAGAGGCTGGGAATTTTGCTGTGGGTAATTCTTCTCCTGTCTCCCAATGCATATCAATTACCTACAAGATACATGTCAGGAATGTGATGGAATACTGCCCATGTGCCTGGATCAAGGTACTCCCGATAACACTCAAGAATCTTGACCCACCATTCATGACAAAGCAACTCACTTGATTGGAACCCCATCTACCACTTTCAATGTTCACTTTCTTTACCACCAATGCATTTTAGCAGCAGTGTGCACCATGTACAAGATGCTCAGCGTATCTCTACCAAAGCTACTTCAATAGCAACTTTCAAACTCATAACAGCTACGACCTAAGAGGACAAGGGCAGCAAATATATGTGCACATCACCACCTGCATCTCCAATACTAGATGTGATCCTGTGATTGGACAACACTTACTGAACAATTCCAATAATGCTAACAATTGCATTATCAACCAGTTAAGATTTTCATTAGAATTGCAATGTGACTCACTTGCACTTGCTAAAAGTCGCATATATTTATTCACGGGGCCAGCCCCTTTGGGTAAGGGTGGAGGCGATGACCTAGTGGTATTATCGCTGAACTGTTAATCCAGAGACCCAGATAATGTTCCGGGGAGCTGGGTTCGAATTCCGCCACAGCAGATGGTGGAATTTGAATTCAATAAAATAGCTGGAATTAAGAATATAATGATGACTGTGAATCCATTGTCGAATGTTGGAAAAAACCCATCTGGTTCAGAAATGTCCTTTAGGGAAGGAAACTGCCATCCTCACCTGGTCTGGCCAAGATGTGACTTCACGTGGTTGACTCTGAATTGCCCTGTGGGCAATTAGGGATGGGCAATAAATGCTGCCTAGCCAGTGATGTCCTCATCCCGTTAATGAATAAAAGAAAAAAATCCAATCCATTAAGTTGTGTCATGGAAAACAGTAGTGACAGCTGGGTCCACGGGGATCCCACTGCTATACCATCTAATGGGGAATAGGTAATTTCATTAAAAATGAAACTCAATTTTGTGAGTTGTTAAGTTCATATGTTTAACAAATACATATTCAGGAACCTATCGAGTTTGCTATGATTTACCTTTCTCTGCTTTTCATTATTCATTAATTCTCTTTTAATTCTAAGTCTCACTCAGTTCAAAGCCATGAATTCTCTCTCTTAGGTTTAAAGTATCACTTTCTATTGGATGAGCAGAGTAATTTATTTGAGTGTCCGAAATGTGTCCAGTGAAGACAACCACAGAGTAGCAGGCACACCTCATGTTAAATGCAACGAGCTTATTAGAAGTTTAAAGGAAGTTATTTAATGGTGGGGGGGTGGAGCGCAAAGTTGCTCACTGTATCTTGTAGATGGCTGATAGGCTTTGGGGAGACAGGAGAAAGATAATTAATTGAGAGATAAAATCAAGTTTATGTCCGTGGGAATTGAGGGCTTTTTTATTGGATCTTCGCACTGGAGATGACAAAAAAAATCAGAAATCTCTGGTTGAATTTTTTTTTATTTCTGCATTCGATGTGAGCATTACAAACAAAGCCAATATTTCTTCATCATTCCTCAATTCTCTTGAACTGAATGTGGAGCTACATGGAAGTCAGACCAGGTAAGGACGGCAAATTTCCTTCTACAAAGGATATCAGTGAGCCAGATCTTTTTAATGTCAACTGATAATGGTCACCATGACTAGGTTTGGAATCCAAATCCAGAGTTTACTCATGAATTGAATTTAAATTTCATGAGTTACTGTAGTGGGATTTGAATCTGTGACCCCTGAATCTGTGCATCCAGATTGCAAGTCCTCTGACATTACCAATATGCTTCTTCACCCCTTGAAGGAGCTGTTGGTTAAAATACTCAAAAGAAGTTATGAAACTTTGCATACAATTATCTCCTCCATAAAATTGGTTATTTCTTCCTGCTATCCTCATTAAACTCTCTGTCTCAGCTGACCTTATTGATATTTGCATCTAGGCAATAGGTATTAGATGGTCCTTTTCTATTCTAAGGGACATTAAATCTAAATAAAAGCTATTTTTTATTTATGTATCTCTTTGCATGATCATCAAATATCCCAAATCCTTGCAAATGAAATACTTTTGAAGTGAAGTCAGGGACAATTAGGGATGGGCAACAAATCTTACCCTTAACTAGTACATCCACATTCCATGAAAGAATGAATGTAAAACGTGACTGTAATACGGTACAAAATGAGGCAATTAATTTGTATCCAATCAAGGAAAACTGGAATAAATACTGGCCAAAGCAATGGGGTAATCCCTCTAATCTTCTTCATAGGAGTGCCATGGAATATAACGGGACAGAAATTGTCTTGGTTTAATGCATCATCTGAAAGAAAGCATCTCCAACCCGTGCAACATTCCCTCAGTAATGCACTAGAATGTTTGCCTGGTATTATGACAAGTCAAATATAAATCTTCTGTGTCAGGATATTAGGACATTGGAACAGCCTTGTGGTAACGCCATGGATCTGCTTCCCACAAGGTATAAGTTGCACCGTGTGGAGGCAGATTCAGGTAGAGCAAAGATGAATCGATAGATAAGATGAAATTGGATTTGATTGACAACAAAAGGCACAGTAGAGAATATACTTTCAATAACCTATTAGTAACATTAGAGCCTGGTATATCTCAGGTTACCATGTATTTAGTACTGCTGTGCAACAAAACAAAGTTCTAAAGAAGCCTTAATTTAAAAACAGTTCTTGACCTTGCCTTCTCCTTGACCAGTCTGCCTTGAAACCCAAACTCTTATACGTAGCACAAAACTACATGACAAAAGTGACTCCATAATCTTCTAACTGGGGGGCATGGCTGTTACTTAGCTGGACTGTAACCTTCACATGACATGCAATTAAGACCAATTCTTTAGCCACTTACTTTATGCTTTCCAGAAGGAGTCAATGAATACTAAGATTAAGGATAAACTTTGGTGGGTTTTGATATTGTATCTGTGTCTCTACTGAAACCCACTAAGTTTATTGAATCAAATTGCTTTTTAGTCTTCAAGGCTTTGTACCATTTTGAAGATATTGACCTTGGATGCCCAATTACACAACTGTTTAGATTTGGATATGTATTCTTGATGGTATTTGAATGAAAAATGAATGAATGATGAAGACATTGTTCATGATTATCTGTTAGATGAAAGAAGATTATCCATTTATTCAATGTTGGTGCAGATCTTTCAACAATTTATTCAAGTGTTCCGATAGTCCAGATGATGTAAAGAGGTCAATTTTTCTGTGCAAGTCAAACATAAAACTTGCACTATCCTTTGAATAACTAACAACAGAAACTCTTTGTCTAACTTGAAGCTGTTGGTCGGATTTTTGCTCTTACCACCTTAAGGGAGTAGTCGCTACCTTTGAAGGGGACCCATACCACCCCATTTTCTATTTCATATGGCATGTTGTTACGAGGATCATACAATCCCCCCTGGTAGTAAATTCCATTTAGATTAGCTGACTGACAACTATTGTACCACCAACCTCCTCCATAAAATTTTGCACAGTTCTCCTCCCATTTGTCGTTATCTCTGTCATAAGTACTAAATTTCATATTTGCATGGGAGGTATGTTCACTATCTAATGGTAGCCCTGTTATTAATGCATCCCCAGCATTTCCTCCATAATTGGCAATGTTTAGCCTATAGCTTTCTGATTCAGAACCCACAGTTACAGTGTATTCAGCAAATGCCTCATTCCCTGACCAGTCCTCTAGCTCTATACGAAAAATGCTTTCCTTCTGTGTGAGTAAATGGAGGATTTCATTTCCCAGCCAGATGTTTCCATGGCCTTGTTTGTCAATGCTACCAAATCCCTGTCTGTAGTCGTCCCAGGATCGGTTAAAGTTAACTGATCCATTCATTCGCTGCTGAACCAGCACCCAACCACCCAGTTCAGTGCTCTGATCACAGTAAACTGTCACAATGTCAGCAGATCCAGTAGGTTTTATCTTGAATAAACCATTTTCATTACCAGATGCATGCTTTTGTATGATGTCCTTGCAATCTGAAAACAAACATTAAAAATGCACATTAAATTAGAAAAAGAGAGCATATGAACAGCAGTTTGAGATGGACACAAATAAACAAGCTACTGTTAAACATATATTCTATGCAATCTGATTGTCAGTATCACAAAATACGTTCTCCAGAAGGCTTCTTAGATATTTTTACAAATATCAAATTCCATACCCAGCATTCATTCAGTCATTTATATACCTTACACACCTATGAAATATTAATATGCTTTTTACCATGTTTGCAAAACAAGTTACAGTCATCAATGAGAAATGCCTATCCATGGAACAATGCATAACACAGCTCATTGATTTGATCTGCATATTGACTGTATGGAAAAAAAGGCAACAAATTTTAATTTAAATTATACTTAATCATACCTTTCCCAATGTAGCCTTCAATCTTCTGCACTTTATCAATGTTAAAGCTACGGGGCTGCAAATCCACACGCTCCTCTCTAGTTTCATCATCAAAAGGCAAGTTTAGTTTCAAAGTAACTTGGGTGGTATTTGAGGATTTTGAAAAGCCCTTAGAATCCTTTGTATTGGTGGACTGATGGCTACAGCTACAGTTAACAGATTCAGCATGAGGTGCATTGTCTTTAGAATTTGTCACCTCTTTGGTTGAAGGGCAGGCATGTTTTCTGTTGTTAGTCATTACAGAATTGTCAAAATGCCCCAAAGTTGAATAATCGGTGAAATCACCAGAGCTACTGTTCTTTGTTTGAGCTAAATGAACAGAAGAGCCTTTACTTGTTTGTTGCAACGGTAATTCTTTAAAATCTGTTTGGCTTGAATTGAGGATTGACAAATCGGAAGAAGCAGCTTGATTGACTGTCTTTGTGTCACTATGTTTGGTGAAAGTTTGATTTATGACAATTTTAGAACCAGATACAGAGTGGTTTGATTTGGTGGAATAAGAACTATATGAAGAAGTTGATTTGACTGAAACATTTATGAAAAGTGGCTCTTCAATCCTATTATCAAGGCTGCCCTGCTTTAGGGATACATACATTTTCTCTGTGCTATTTAGTCCATGGGTTAAGGGCACAAAACTACCCTTCATGCTAATTGTATGATTGTCAACATCTTTGATTGTGGATATAATCTTTGGAGTCATTGGCGTAGAAGTTAAGAATGAATCTTCAAAAAAGTCAGGATCTAGTTGTGAATTTGCATGTGGTACATCATTTTCTATGGTAATTAATCTAGTGTGGACATCGTCCCAGAACCTAGGATATTCATGATCAATATCAGATGCAGATTTGAATCTAGTTCGTTCCTCAGATTTCTTCATCAAACTCAGTTTGAGCTTATGTATTGGCTTGTCATTCACAATCCTGTCCAGTTTTATGCCTGTCATTGATTGGAGGGATTTCTCCACTCGGACATTACTCTCTTTGTTGACACTGTAAACAACTGACTTTGCACAAGATCCTTTGCAAGATTGTATCTTGATGTCAATGTCAACCTAACAAAAAGAAAGAATATTCAAATCAAGCAATGCCAGTCATTAATGGGAAGAATGAAATTTGGGGAGTTTCTATTTTACTCCTTGCATCCCCAAAGCTTTATGGCCATGCAATTCCCAAACAGCAAGTAGATAGTGAAAGGGATAACTGATAATTCTCTTGGATGAATTACGTTGCTCAGTCATTATTGGAGGCATACATTGATCAGCAGCACATCAATAAGCTATTAAAGGAAAACGTGGACTAACTTTAGATTATTGAATGAAATTAGTCTTTGGCAGTAGTACAAAAAACGATGGTAGTGAATTGGTAGCCCATTTTACACAACTCCCACTGATTTTTCCCATTAACTGCCCTCAAGAAGGAAGAGGCCATGGATGCAAAATTAAATGTGAGCAACATGAAACAGATAGTCAATGAAAGGTCTTTACACGGAGACTTGTGAAACAATGGAGTTCACTTCCAAGGTTAGCAATTGAGACAGAAGCATGTTAACTTCGGGTGGATAAGGGATGAAGGAAATATGGACCAAGAGATATAAGAACAGGGTGGTGAAATGTGATTGGCAATCAGATGGAGGATAATTGCTATTATAAATTATTGGGCCAAATGGCCAATTTCCTCATTTTAATCTTTGGCTCTGATTTTCACAGAATGAGAGTGACTCTGCAAAGCAGATAGGACTTAATTCTGAGATTCCCATCCCCTTCCCAATGCCCCCGATTTTCACTGGTGATGGGTAAGATTGTGGGTGATGATTCTTCACCCAATACTCCCAACCTGGCCAGCTCCATTGCAAATGATGCACCTCTGAGCACTGTGTAATTTTAGTGGAATTGGGCCCGCTTTTGATGATTCGTGGTTTAACGCCCCTCAGAGCAGTTATGAACCATAGCCTGGGTTTAGGAACCTTTTGAAAGGTTACTTCATGTTCCCACCTTCCACCTTATAGTCCATGTCAAGTCAATGGCAACTCCTGCCCACCACCCATACCCACGGAACTTTATAGATCCTATGCAAATATTGCAATATGTGCCCCACCCACACCGACCCTTTTAAAAACATAATGATGCTCGGTTAAAAACTGAAACTCTTATAATAGGATAATCTGAAGTAAGTTTGTCTATACAAGTCCAAAGAGTTGTTGACTTTGACATTTCTGAGGTAATCGTTTGTCTTTTTTTCCTATAATTTTTTATCATTGTCTTAATGTTTATTTGCATAAGATTAAGGGGTGTCAAGTGCTTAAAGTTTCTGTTATTGATACTTCAATGACACATTTGTCAATCAGCTGTTGTTTTCCAGAGATCAATTTTTTTTAAATCAATTTCATTCATCCCAGTGTCACTATATGGTTAATTAGTTTTTCATATAATGCACATTGGGGAAATTGGCATGGGAAATATAAGGGGAATGGAATGGAATGGGGCATGAGTTGGCATTGAGACGGCATGGGGAGTGAATGGGGATGTGATGGGGCACGACTTTGAGTGCCTAAAATGTAACCAAACACCTGGGACAAAGTCTAAGAGAACCAAGGCAGATTGTGAAAGGGATAATAACCAGGCTACCCCACTACTCAGCAGCTTCCATTGCCACTTTGGATCTGTTTCTGGGGGTAGTGGGCCTGCCACTATTCCGTGCCCCTGTGACTGAACTGAAACAGGTTGCAAAGGAGTTTATATACTAAGATGGCATGCCTATAGAGTTGGGAAATTTCCTAAATCGAGCTACCTGTATCAGTAGTGAAAATCTAAACATTTATGCCTTTCTATGTCTTTCTTAACCAAAATGAAATTATGAAACCCAGCTCTAAAAACATCTTATTAAAGTAAAGGAGGACTTTTATGATCCTTAGTACAAACGTATTAATCAAGTGATCAGGTATCATCTAAATTCAATATTTTAGTTATAAAGGCACTGATAACATATATTAAAGACAGTGAATCATAATCTGTTACATCTTGTGCCATTTACGTGTGGGAGATGTGTCAGATTCACAAGAAGACCATAGAGGTTTTGAGTGTTTTAGGGTCGGAGCTGATGTTATTATTCGACAAGTCAGCTCTCATACTGAACTCTGACTTGATGGATTTTTTTTATTTTAGTGAGGTGGTCTTCCTTGAAATGTGAGCATGCAATGCCACAGATTTGGATTTAACAATAAAACAGAAGTTTTTTACACAAAAGAAATGAAGTTAAAATAAAATGAATCAAATTATTTACAATTAACAAATGTTTAATGTTTTTGAAGCAAATAGTAAAGATATAATTCTATCAATCCCCACAGCATACCATAAGAATACCCAAACATCAGAGAGAATGTCTTCTCTAGTTTTGACTTGAACTCCTGATGATGAGAGTGTGACAGCCTCTTGCATGTTTCACCATGTAACTGAGATTTGGGTTTTCACATAACTCCTCCAGGGTTTTGACCAAACACTTCCAGTTCACCTACAGCTAAGAACTCTGCAGAACTGCTAACCTGAAACTAAAAGAAAACTGTTTTCTATCCCCAAGCTATGGGTGTTTAACCTAAGCTCAAAAAACAATTCCAGAATCTGAAAGCGCAATGCATTGCATTGTTTATTTTGTCTGCTTGCAAACTCTCCCAATGTAAATGGAAGCCCATTACTCCAAAACTACTTCTCTCAGACTGCATTTTTAAAGACAAAATGCTATGGCTAAGGAAATACTTGCAGGTTCTTTCTAGCAGGCCTTTGACAAGGTGCCACGCAGGAGGCTGCTAAATAAGGTAAGAACCCATGGTGTTAGGGGCAAGGTACTGGCACGGATAGAGGGTTGGCTGATTGGCAGAGGCAGAAAGTGGGGATAAAGGGGCGTTTTTCAGGATGACAGCCGGTGGCTACTAGAGTTCTGCAGGGGTCTTTTTGGGACCACAATAATTCGGTTATACATTAATGATATGAACAAAGGAACTGAATGCATTTTTGCTAAGTTTGCAGATGACACAAAGATAGGTGGATGAATAAATAGTGTTGAAGAGGTGGCGGAGGCTGCAGAAGGACTTGGACAGGCTAAGAGAGTGCACAAAGAAGTGGCATATTAATGCTATAATTTCGGTGGGGGCAAGTTAAGTAAGTGGGCCAAAATAGAGCACATGGAATATAATGTGGGGAAGTGATAATTCATGAATCTTTGGAAGGGAGAATAGAAACGCAGATTATTTTTAAATATTGAGATTGGAAAATGTTTGTATTCAGAGGGATCTTGGTATTGTTATACATAAAGCATAGAAAGTTAACAGATAGGTACAACAAGAAATTAATAAAGAAAACAATCTTGCCCTTTGTTATCAGTATTATTATTTATTATTCACTTATGATCAGTGATTCAAGGAAAAATCCCATCGTCACCTTGGGCAACTATTGGATGATTAGCAATAAATATTGTCCTGTCAGAGTGACCAAATGTTGAGAACTAATTGACAAGTAACTGCCAGTTTTAAAGACATTTTCTCCCTGGATGGATTTCAATGCTGCTAAAACAATTCAATTTTCAGAAAAGCTGGAATTTTGAGTAGAAATTGTGACAAGGATTTTTAAAAATCCTTTTTGATCAATTCTGCCAGGTATGACACTAATGATGAAAAAAAACTCCTCAGTATTAATATTGTAAATAAAACTGACAGACTTACATACCTGCAACTTTCAGAGTAAAAACATTGCACTTTCAAAATATGTAATAAATAGACCGCAGCGGTACAAGAAGGCAGCTTACCACTACCTTCTTAAGGGCAACAAGGGATGGGCAATAAGTGCTGGCCAGCCAATGATGTCCACATCTCACAAATAAATGAAAAAAAACATTACCTCCAGTCTTGAGACAACCTTGAATTGCTCTAACATGTTATTTTTTAATAGTTTTAACTTGAGACTTTGATCATTAGTCTTGTTCTGCAACATGGTAAGTCTGGAATTCAGATGATCCACCAACTGATAGTAAGTGTCGCCAAGTCCTAAAAGATGACAAACACATTCTTCTAGATAGATTTTCATAGGGTTCTGCAAGTACATTTTTAAAATGAATTAGTAATTTGAACTAAATCCAAATGAAGGTTGAAGCTGCATTTCCTGAATCTGAATTAATTGGAAGGGGAATTTTGCGGTTGCACAATCCTTAAAGAATGTTCTATTGTGATAATCTGAGTTTGTCATTCAATTTTAATTTGTATGGAAATAAAAGCTGAAACTCTTAAGAAACACGAACAGAGGAACGGCACAGTGACTCAGTGGCACAGCGCCAGGGATCCGGGTTCTATTCCACCCTCGGGCCACTGTCTGTGTGGAGTTTGCACCTTCTCCCCGTGTCTGCGTGGGTTTCCTCCGGGTGCTCCGGTTTCCTCCCACACTCCAAAGATATGCAGGCTAGGTGGATTGGCCATGCTAAATTGCCCGTAGTGTTCAGGGATGTGTAGATTAGGTAGGTTAGGATCTGGGTGGGATGCTTTGAGGGTCGGTGTGGACTTGTTGGGCCAAAGGGCCTGTTTCCACACTGTAGGGATTCTACGTTTCTATGAACCACTCACCACCTATCCTGCTTAGAGTCTGTCTGATTCTGTTGACAGCTTCAGTCACCGTAATATGAGCGTTCTCAAATACTGTGGAATACATGTCCAACATCTGTCGAATCTCCTGGATCCTGTTATCATTTTGTTGATTCTCAGTCTTGATTAATCCCTGCATTCTACACCCAGATGGACATTTAGAGCCCTATTGAATTAAGGCAAAATTATAAAATATTTTAGTTATTTGCAATGTATAATTTCTCAAAAAAATGAAGTGACAACTGCATCACTTACCCAGTCACCATTCGTACAAATCTGCCAATTCTTCTCTGAACACTGAGTAGATTTAAATTGGTCACCATTTCCAATGGGTTGAGGACCCCAAGGTACAAGTGAAGACTGGGCCTGAATCTTCAATCGTAAGAAATCAATAAAAAGAGAATCGTTTGACATATTCAATACTGATTTACAATCATCGACCTGGCATGTTCCCTTGAACAAGGATAACAAGGTGTAGAGCTGGATGAACACAGCAGGCCAAGCAGCATCAGAGGAGCAGGAAGGCTGACGTTTCTAGGCCC